TCTGTGAATTGAGAAGGGAAAAAGAATTAAGAGAGCAAGCTTCAAGTTTTAAAGCTACTAGGGACAAAGGTAGTATCAGTTGTAATTTTCAACCGAATCTTCTAGAGGTAATTATATATACCATTATGAAATTAAAGTAGCTTAATTTATTTAATTGAAATATATACACAATAACAATTTGAAATTTATTGTTGGTTTTAGGGTATTTCACCTTGTCAACTCTACTTATCGTCACCGACTTATCGGATGGTTGGCAAGGGAAAAGTGCATAACACTTTGGGAGAATTACTTCACACTAAACCACTCCCTACTGGCTGTTTGAAAGTATCGGTTGGCATTGTTTTAGAGAGGGATGCGTTATTACCACATCCTGGCGATGTTTCAGATGCCACACTTGTGGGAGATGCAATCGGTTTTTTTGTTGCATGGCCATCAAGCCTCATTAGTGTAGATGATGAGGTATGCTTAAAATCATATATATGAACCTTTGAGTAATCAAAGTTTTTACGCGCATTTTACGTACATTTGTTTTTACATGGTTATGTTAATTAGACTCCAACAAAATCTAAAGCAAAAGACAAGGGGATTCCGCGGCAAACCAAGTCAATGGCATCAATAAAAGAGGTATATCAAAATTATATGATATTTATGCATGAAAAATGTTAATTCGTGATCTTATACTTCACATAACTAATTATATGATCTTTAGGTTCATGCTAAAGAGAATGAAGATGTCGGTAGGGGTAAGAATCCTGAAATTAGCAACATTTCCACACAAAAAAGGTTGTTGCTAAGAAGACCGCGGCTAAAAAAAACCTACTTCCAAGTTTAGGTCGTACCGTGAGACATTTTTAGAAATGTATGATATTCTGGAAAGAAATAATCGTCTTCTACCTATGGAGTTTGGTATTTTTGGTTTTGAATATTCCGAAACAATTGGTATGGAAGATTTTGATCAAGTTTTACAATATACACAATTAGGCCTCGGTGTTGTTAATACATACATAAGGTATATCTGATCTACTTTGTCTAATTAATTGATCAATTCATTCTCATTTCAAATGTTAATGAGGTCTTTTATTTAAGGTTTTTGTATGAAAAATTGATGCGCCCGAGTGGAATGGAGCAAAGATTCGCTTTCTTATCTCCTTTCAGTATCAACTTAGGGTTAATCATTCATAAACCAGATGAAGTCATGGCGTATATACTCGAGCGCTTTATGGTCGACAAAGATACCGAAAAGTTGTTCTTTTTACCGCTTAATACCGACAACGGGTTAGGTTTTCATTCTAAATTCATCTATTATAATTTTTCATATTTTGACGTTGTGTAGAAAGTTTCCATCTCACATTTGTTTAATATTACAATGGACATTGGTTGTTGGTCGCGATTAATCCTATTAGAGAAGTTGTATATTATCTGGATTCTTTATGCAATGATCCAAGTACATACCAAGATATGAAGAATATGATTGATACGTAAGTGAGATTATTCTAAATATTCGTGTGTATATTTATTTATTTATTTATTTATTTATTTATGTGAATTATTCTAAATATGCGTTTATGTTTTATTAGCATTATACAAGTTTTTCGAGCACAAAGAGGTGTTCAAGTACCAAAGAGTAAAGCCAACAACATTACATGGATTATAGTGGAGATATATTAATTAATTATCATAATTTTGATTATATTAACAGTGATGATACTTGATAAAACTTAGGCCTTATCCATATTTTCTTTTCATGTGTAGTGTTCTCGGCAGGGTAATGAAGTAGATTGCAGTTTTTACATGTTGAGGTTTATGAGAGAAATCCTTCTTTTGGATCGAATAGAGATTCCATCTAAGGTGTGGATTTCTAACTTAGGAGTTATTTTAATATTTAACACATATTTCTCATATAATTAAATAATTTTAACTTAAACATAGTATATTATATATTATATAGTACTTTGATGAATTCAAGTGTGCTTATTACTCAAGTTCTCAGTTGGATGAACTTAAGGAGGATTGATGTCAATACATTATTGAGACGAAAATTATATAAGGTATATTATAATCTTACTTTAATTGATGAGAATTTTGAGTGTATTCAAGTGTTGCAATTTTGTTTTTGTTTGTCACGTGGTAAATTATATATATTTTGTTTGTATCATGGTATGAATTACGATATTTTGGTGTTATTTCAGGTTATATGTGCATATGTAGAAGATAGAGATGAATAGATTTTGTAATGGTATATAATGGTGTTGTTTTTGTGTTGTTTTTTTTGTAAAAGTTATATGTACAAGAGTAATAGTATATATAAGTACATTGGTGCAAATGTATAGTATCTTTTGGTATTATTTTTTATTGGACTGAAGCTCCAATATTAGTGAAAATCTGGTGAAATTTGTAATGGTATATACAGGTACAAAATATGGTGAAAATATGGTGCAAATATGGTTAAAATATGTGCATATAAAATTGTATATATCAAACAACATTTTTTTCTTCAAAAAGGTTATATAAAAAATTTCGTTGACATTAGACAGCCCTTTAAAAAATATTGTCTAAAGCCCCATTTAGACAGTGCTTTTACTGTAAAAGCGTTGCCTAAAGGGGCTCTTTTTTTAAATATTTTTTTGTTTCAGAAAAAAAGCGCTGGTTAAAGGGAGCCTTTAGCAGCGTTTTAAAAAAAAGCTGGCTAAAGGGAGTTTTAGACAGCGCTTTAACATTAAAAGCGCTGCCTAAATGAGTTTTTTAATTTTTTTTGTTTCAAAAAAAGCGCTGGCTAAAGGGGCCTTTAGCAGCACTTTAAAAAAACGCTGCCTAAAAGCGATTTTAGACAATACTTTAACATTAAACGCGCTGCCTAAAGGGGTTTTTTTTATAAAAAAAAATTGTTTCAGAAAAAGCATTGGCTAAAGGGGGTCTTTAGTAGTGCTTTAAAGAAAGTGTTGTCTAAAGGGGGCCTTTAGCAGCGCTTTCAAAGTAAAAGGGCTGCCTAAAGGGGGGATTTAGCAGCGCTTTTACTTTTAACAAAGCGTTGTCTTTACCTACAGTAGCGCTGGAATAGACAGTGCTGTTAAAGTTAAAAAAAGCGTTGTCTAAAGTCTTGTTTGGCGTAGTGTGTGTTACGACAAAGGTGACTACTAATATCTTCATGAACCACATCTCCAAACTTGAGCAAGTTATGACAATTGATGGCGTGTTTACTCATACTCGCATGCGAGTTTTCTCGTGTGAGTAATTGTTGTACTTTTAACCATCTTACCATCTTCATCGAATTCGTACTCATTAGCTACCTTGATTCCATCTTCATCAGGTCTTATAACCTACATGCTGGTAACAGGAGATCAAGATCCTCGCCTTTGTGTTCTTCCAATTCTCCCCACCTTATCTTCCCCGCATTGTTTGAATACACCATGAGTTCAATTATTCATGTGTTAAATATGATAATATCATTTCTTTACTCTATCAATGTATAGAAACTAAACTCAAATAACTTGAACCAAGTGACTATAGTTTATTATTATGAAATATAAGTGATTTTGTTAGAAATTTAACAAATTGACAAATATATTTTTTTACTTAGAAATTTAAAAATAAAGTCTTCAAACTAAACATATTGAAACCATACTTATTTATAAGTTTTCATAGTAAAACAAAGCTAATAAGTTCGTTGTTTATACACAATGTTACTCGTGGAAACGCATGAGTAACACAACAATAGTATGAGAATACACGAATAATAAATGGGTGTGTGTAATACACCAATTCTCGTGTGAACGCACATGTAACACACTAGTGCCGTGCAAACGCACGGGTAATCAAGCCAAAATCCGTGTGCACGCATAAATAATACATTAGTACCGTGTAAACACACGGGTAATCAAGCTAAAATCCGTGTGAATCTACAAATTATTACATTTTTTGTACAATTAAAAAAAATAAAAGTAATATATTTAAATTAATGTATGTATCAAACACAAGAAAAATGTGTTGTTTTTTAATTATTTATATATTTAATATTTTTATTTTAAAATTATTTTTAATTTAAAATATAATAATTTTTAAGATAATATATGAATAATTAAAATATATAGTATTGATGTCTTTCTTTTAAAAATTGAAAAATTAATACAATTTTTTTATTTTAAAAAAATATCTTTCTTTTTAAAATAATAAACTATTATGTTAAAACTTTTTTATTTTTTTTATTTAAAGTTTTATTATATTTTAAAAACAAAAGCAAGTATGTGTACCACACCTATATCCATACGGATGCATGAATGAACATCAATATTGTATAGACGTATGGGTGATCAGTAATGAAAAATATATTTTATTTTTATCTATTTTACACAATTATTTTTTTTAAAATTAGTGTTTAAATTTTTTTTCTAACAATGATTGATTTAATTAACTCATATGTTTATTGTTAATTATTTATTTATTTATCCTATTTTACAATAAAGTTAAATTACTTTCTATTTTATTTAAATTTTAAAAAATAAAATTATAACAATTTTGCGGTCGCATGCGGATGCACGGAAATGCTACTATAAATAAGTAACTAGTACTTCTACCCGTGCGATGCACGGACAAATTGTTGTTAGATATTATATGTTTATAATAAAAATATGAATGTTTAAAATTTGAACAAACTTACACAATATACAAATGTTGAAAAGGAATTAAATTAGTAATTTGAACAAACTTATACAATATATAATGTGCATCAAAACCTTTCGAATTTGTAGTTGGCACTATCCATCAATACTAAAAATAAAGTAAACACCACATAAATTAATAGAGTTCGTATATTTATATATTGAGATATAAAAGTATTGAAGTAAAAAATCTCTAAGCATCCCAATATCACTCGATAGCATAATCAACCAATGGACTAAACCTGCAAAGAAAAATTAACTCTATAAAATAATTCGTTAAATAAAAAATAAAACCAACTTTGATAATAATTTAGCATATAATAGATAATGTACGTTATTCATATTTTAGAAGACCTCCTTGTAAACAACGTTTGAAGTCTTATTAGTGGCATCACCATCATCGTCAGTGATAAGAAGTTTTAAACCAGCTCGTGAAGTAACTCTAGAAACTGCAACATATAACTGACCGTGGGTAAAAACAAATTGTGGAAGGTAGATCCCAACATGTTTAAGAGATTGACCTTGACTCTTATTTATTATCATTGCAAAAAAAACAAATATAGGAAATTGTCTGCGCTGAAATCTAAATGGAATTCTCATGTCAGAAGGAGTCAAAGACAACCTCAGAATAAACACTTTTTGGCCAATATTATTTCCAGAAATGACCTTCGCCTCAAGCATAAAATTTCCCAATTGAGTAATAATGAGACGCGTACCATTACATAATCCTGATGATTGGTCAATATTTCTGAGCAACATAACAGGCACACCAACTTTTAATTTCAATTCATGATTTGGTAGACCTGAAGCTTTGATGGTATTCAATAATTCCGGAGTAAGGATATTATATGGACCATCAAGAGTTTCACTTTGTTCACATGGTATATCAAAACTCAAATATGTTTTAACTTCACCAGGAATCAAAGATAACATGTAATCATTTATGAGTTCAACAATTTCATTTTTTGGTGTCAAAATAGCCCTATCTTGAAAATATGATGGATCATGAAAATTCTCAGAGAAAGATGGATAAGTATCACCAACTATATAAGCAATGGGTTCTCCTGAATTTTTAATTATCATATCATCTGGAATTTCAATGTTTAAGTATCCATCACTATCCTCACCAATTTTTCCTTCTCCAATACTCAACAACCAATCAGAAAATTGCTTCATTTGATTTACATCAGATCCTGAAGATCCATTTTGAAGCCTCATGTTCTTGGTTAATGTCATTACTTGACAAAAATCCCATAGATAAGATGAATTAATGCTGGCATGCACAATATCTTCTCTTGTTCCCTTCGGTATAACAGGAAGGATTTGTCTAAAATCACCACCAAAAACAACTACTTTACCTCCAAATGGAATATCCTTACTATTAGGATTGGAGGATTTAAGAATATCTCTAAAAGTTCTATCAACAGCTTGAAAGCAATATTTGTGCATCATTGGAGCCTCATCCCATATAATAAGTCTAGCCTTTATTATCAACTGAGCTAAAGGACTTTTTGGTGCAATGTTTCAAGTAGAAAATTCATCAATATTTAATGGAATAGCAAACCTTGAATGTGCAGTTCGACCACCTGGTATTAGCAGCGCTGCTATTCCACTTGAAGCAACCGTGAGCACAATTTCACCTCTTGATCTTATAGCTGCAGATATAGCTCTCCAAATGTAAGTTTTCCGGTTCCCCCATATCCATAGACAAAGAAAATTCCACCTTTATCTCGAGCAACTGATTGCATTATATTGTTATATATCCCTCTTTGCTCTGAAGTCATCGATGACACCAACTTTTCATGTTCGATAGCCAAAGCTTGTCTATCATAATTAAGTTCATCTTGTATGAGTCTGTTCAGACCATTAGATAACAATGACATATCTGGTTGTGGCATGGCAGGAAAGTCTTTCAAAGTTGTATTATTGCTTTGTAGTAATTTCTCTATCTCGGCAAGAGTGAAATTTTGTAACTCCTCATCAGTCAAAACCAAATCTGAATTAACACAATTATATTTAATATTAGAATAATACAGTATTATATTATGGTATAAACTTTGAGTAAGGAAAATGATCTACCAATTTAAAATGTTGGCAATTTGATACTGCCACTTTCGTATCAAGCAATACTTTAAATGGCTTTAAACACGAAAAGAAGCAATCAAAAACAGTAATGAAAATTAGAGTCACGAAAATATGTATAAGCTGTTATAAATAATTATCAAAACATATATCCCACTTATTTCATAGTTATAGAAATGGTAGCTTAGATATTTGTAGAAGAAACTAATATATCTTTTCTAGATAATTTATAAGTAATTAATTCCCATATATATTCCATTAAGTAAGAACAATTATTATATTAGGAATGTCTTGGTGTCTAGAATAAAAACAATGATGATATAGTGAACAAAAAATACTTCTTTCAAAACACTATTTTAAAAATAAATATTTAATCATATTGTAAGATCATCATACCTTCATTTTGGAGTTCTAATCTTTGCCGGTACAAAATGTCATCACTTAGATATTGCCAAGTTTTGCTCCAAATTAATTCTGGTTTGTTAAGTTGGTCCAGAACCAATAAGGTTACAAAAAGCTTCCTTAAATAATAAGATGTCCCCCAATTGCTTGCTTCTATGATGGCATCAATGAATTCTTTTTCATCGCGCAACAATCCCAAAGCATAGCAAGCATCTTTAAATGAGTCATAAACAACATTGTTTACAGTTCTAATATCTTTAAATGATTTTTCTCCTCTGATATGATTAAGCAATGTTCTCATGTAATATAGTTGACCACTTCCTGGATGAATAAATTGTAATCTTCCAATTGCAAATCCTTTTTTCCTCTTTGTCCACTCACGACTACGTTTATTCCAAACAAACATTGAAGGAAATTCACCATATGTAAGGCCCCTTGCTTCAGGATATTTTCTATTTGCATCCATCCAACCCAAGAATTTTGTCACGTGGGAGTTTGGGTTGTTGATTACATCTTGCAATGGAACATCATCCTCAAAAACCAAATACTGTTCATTTGGAAAGTGAAAAGTCAAACGCTCAACAGCAGGTTCTCTATGATTGATATCAAAGGAAAATATGTGAAATCAAGCTTTCCAAGTGTTTTGATGAAGACAAACTAGCATGCAAAAATGAATGGATCAAGATAGAAGATTTATCTCAAGCAAAGATTCATTGATCAAGATCAACTTTTCAAGACTTATGGCTTAAGGTATATGAAATTTTTGATCTTATGCTCTTAGTGCTCAAAACTATTTTTAATCATGCATTTACTTTATTAAAATGATATTTTGAGTATATACTATGTATGATTGAAGAAGGATGTTTTAAATTGCTTAAAATCTTTGAAAATAATGATTTTTCAATTTTTGAACACAAGCAATCGATTGTCATGCTTAGGACAATCGGTTGCAGTCAAAAACAAAAGTTTCTATTTTGACAACAATCGATTGTCATCTAGCAGCAATCGATTGTCATAGTTATATTTTTCAAAATTTTTAAACGTTGTTGTGCTGCAATCAATTGTTGCTTTAGTGCAATCGGTTGTTGTGCTTCAGCTTTTGAAAATCTTCATTTTTCCAGCAACTTTTTTAACACCTTTTCATGGCAATCTTTGTATCTTTTCAAATACTTTTTTCCAGTAAAAATGGTTTAATCATTGCTATGATTCATTGAAGAGGTATTACTACACTATAAATTATTTTTATTTTGAATTTTGAAAATACAACAACAATCACTAACAACTATTACTTTCTATTCTTTTGATCATACTCTATATACTCAAGATTTTTGTTCATCATTTTCATATGCATACTGAAAATTGTTCTTGAGCACTTAGAAGAGTATTCCATCTTAAATTTCATATTGAATAGAAAAGATCAATCAAGTGATTGACATTGCTCTTTCATTATTCAAACTCTTATACAAATCAAACAAACTATTGTATCCTTATTTTCAGGATTGTTGGAAACAAGAAAGTCACTTAGAGAGGATTGTTCTCTTTGTGGACTTAGTGAAAATCCAAGAGGATTGTTCTTGGTCCAAGAGGATTGTTCTTGGTTTTTTGGTAGTCTTTGTACAAATTACCAACTATAAGAAAATATCTTTCGTGTGAAAGGGGACTAGACGTACCTTCGGATTGTGAGGGGAACTAGTATAAATCCTGGTGTTTTTTACTTTCCGCATTTACTGCTTTCATCACTTATCAGAAAAAGAAAGAAAAGAAACTCGTGCAAAAATATTCATACAATTCAGAAAAAGTTTTTAGAACTTAATTCACCCCACACCCCTCTTAGGCGCATCTGAAATTACAATTGGCATTAGAGCAGGTTATAGGTAACCTGTTCCTACTAGATCCAGAATGGCTTTCGCAAACAACAATTCTGTGTTCAGAGACGGTGGCAGTAGCAACAAGCCTCCTCTATTCTGTGGTGAATATTTTGATTTCTGGAAGATCCGTATGAAGGCTCATCTAGAAGCACAAGGAGAAGAAATATTGGATGTTGTCCAAAATGGCCCTTTTGTTCCGGTAACTGTAGTAAACAGCGTTGGCTCATCAAAGCCTAAAACTACATGGGATGATGATGATAAGAAAAAGGTCTTGTATGACAAAAAGGCAATAAACCTCCTTCAAAGCGCACTTAGTATGGATGAATTCTTCCGTGTCTCAGCATGTACAACGACAAAAGAAATTTGGGATACACTGGTTGAAACACATGAAGGAACAACTGAAGTAAAGAGATCGAGACTTAATATGTTAAGTCAAGAATATGAATTATTCCGTATGCAACCCGGAGAATCCATTCTTGATTTACAAAAGAGATTCGTGCATCTAACAAATCATCTAAGGGCACTTGGCAAAACATTGAACAATGATGAGTTGAACCTAAAAGTGCTCAGATCCTTGACTAGAGAATGGCAACCAAAAGTAACGGCAATCTCAAAAAAGAAGAGTCTCGCTACTATGACATCCGTAACTTTGTTCGAGAAACTTCAAGAATACGAGACAGAACTTGGTAGATTGGAAAAGCGTGAAAATCAAGAAAAGAAGTCTAAGAACATTGCCTTGAAGATTGACTCCAAGGAAGACGAAAAGAAAGATAATCCCGATGAAGATGAAAACTTCATGCTTCTTGTTAGAAGACTTGGAAAATTCTTTGGTAAAAATTACAAATCCTTCTCGCACTCAAATAAGAAGAAACACTTCAAGAAGAAGGAAGGATCCTCATCAACACAAGAAGTTACTTGTTATGAATATGGTAAACAAGGTCACATCAAACCGGACTGTCCAAAACTTTCAAAGAAAAGTGGCTACAAAGGCAAGAAGGAATCAAAAGATAAGAAAGCATATGTTGCATGGGAAGATGTTGAACTAAGTTCGTCAACCGACTCCGATAGCGACGAAAGTGCTAATCTTGCGTTAATGGCATCACACCACTCCGAAAGCGAAGACGATGAGGTTAGTAATGTATTCTATCTTTTTGATAGTGATGCACAAGGTGATATAAATGAACTGTTAAATGAATTCAAAATTCTGTACAAAACTATCTCATCACAAAAGAAACAAATTTCATCGTTGGAAGAAAAATGTGGATCTATTGAAAAAGATCTCAAAGATGAAAAGCAAAAGGTTAGTGATGAAAAATAGAATTTTGTATGCACAAAGTGTGAATCTCTCTCTTTCCAAATTGTCCAATTGAAAAGGGTTCTTGAAAGGTATGAAAAAGGACAAATTGGATTGGAAGGTGTTCTTAGCCAACAAAGATACTCAAATGACAAAAGTGGTCTTGGATACTCAAAAATTTCAAAACCAAGTACCAACAAAACCATCTTTGTCAAGGCTAGCGATCAACCAACCAAAGAGAAAGAAATCACTCCCAAAATAGTTCATCACTATCCTAAAAAGAAAATACCTTCTAAGAAGAAATCTTATCCTTCTAGATATAGAAGTAAATTTGAACCTACTTGTTTTTATTGTGGTATTCAAGGACACGCACCTAATGCTTGTTATGTTAGAAACTTTGGCATGGAAAATGGGCATTATGTGTTGGTTAAGAAAGGAACTAATTATGAAGGATCCAAAGCAACTTGGGTACCTAACAAAACCTAATCTTGTTTTGTAGGTAAGCTTGACGACCACTTCAAATCTATGGTATCTTGATAGTGGTTGTTCCAAGCATATGACGGGAGATATCGACAAATTTTCACATCTAACGCATAAGGCCAAGGTGTTGTACCCCAAAATTTGCCCTCCCATATTCTTCAAAGTTTTGACAAGCATCACCTCAAATGGTTCAAAGTCTACTCAAGGGTCACACAGTCCAGCACCCTCCTAAGCCAGTCAAATTAGGGTTTTGGTTCTTGCAAGGAAGTTGAGGTTTTCAAAGGTCCAATCAAGTCCCATATGCTCATATACATTGGCAAGCACTT